TACATTATTTAAATCTACAATATTTAAATCTACATTATATAAATCTATCTTATTTAAATCTACATTATTTAAATCTACATTATTTAAATCTACAATATTTAAATCTACATTATTTAAATCTACATTATTTTAATCTACATTATTTAAATCTGCAATATTTAAATCTACATTATTTAAATCTACAATATATAAATCTACATTGTATAAATCTACATTATTTAAATCTACAATATATAAATCTACAATATTTAAATCTACATTATTTTAATCTACATTATATAAATATACATTATTTTAATCTACAATATTTAAATCTACATTATATGAATCTACATTATATAAATCTACAATATTTAAATCTACATTATTTTAATCTACATTATATAAATCTACATTATTTTAATCTACAATATTTAAATCTACATTATATAAATCTACATTATTTAAATCTACAATATTTAAATCTACATTATTTAAATCTACATTATTTAAATCTATATTATTTTAATCTACAATATTTAAATCTACATTATATAAATCTACATTATTTAAATCTACAATATTTAAATCTACATTATTTAAATCTATATTATTTTAATCTACAATATTTAAATCTACAATATTTAAATCTACATTATATAAATCTACATTATTTAAATCTACAATATTTAAATCTGCAATATTTAAATCTACATTATATAAATCTACATTATTTTAATCTACATTATTTTAATCTACAATATTTAAATATTCATTATATAAATCTACATTATTTAAATCTACAATATTTAAATCTACAATATTTAAATCTACATTATATAAATCTACATTATTTTAATCTACAATATTTTAATCTACATTATATAAATCTACAATATTTAAATCTACAATATTTAAATCTACAATATTTAAATCTACATTATATAAATCTACAATATTTAAATCTACAATATTTAAATCTACATTATATAAATCTACATTATTTTAATCTACATTATTTTAATCTACAATATTTAAATCTACAATATTTAAATCTACATTATATAAATCTACATTATTTGAATCTACATTATTTTAATCTACATTATTTACTGTTTTGTTGCTGGATTTAAAAGGTTTATACTTAAATTATAATTCCTGTTAATTTTAAAGATTACTGTTGGACTGCTGGCACTTTCTGCTCAGGCCTAATAATAATAATATTAATAATAATAATAATAATAACATTAATAATAAAAATATTATTATTTCTGATAATAATATAGTAAAAAAATAATGCTGATAATAAAGTTACTGATAATAGTACTGGTAATTATTATTATTATTAGAATAATAATAATAATACAAGTAATGGTAATAATACTGATACTACTACTACTACTACTACTAATAACAATAATACTGATAATCATAATAATCTCTACAAAAACATCAAAGCCTTTCTGGAACATTCATTCTGAAAACATGAGCTCATAATAAGTGAATAGATCTCATCCTGTCATTAAGCAGCAGAGATCATAACATCAACGTTACAGTAAAACTGTAGGAAGACAAAGATATGAAATATGAATCAGGAAACACTGAAGAGGACGTGTGCTGAAGGAATATGAAGGAAATGAAATTAGTTTGATGCACATGAAGATCAAACATGGAAACAATAAGAACTAAGTCACTGAGTCATTGAGCCCCGCCCACTTCCTTTGTGTGGATATCAGCTCCATCACTCTCGTATATCAAACTCGTTGACTTGTTACATTCCTCCGCCTCGCTCCACGCCTCGTCTTCTCTTCCTCTCTTTGTGATGAAGAGAATAAATATAAACCTGGACTCTGGTTTAAGAATAAAGAAGAAATCAAACGTGAGGATCCACTTTCACACGCTGTGAACACAATACAGAGCTGAACTGCTGCCAAAGTGAAATATGATTATTAACACTTCACCAAAGAAAATGTTAAAGAAAACATGCAAACAATGCTTCATGAATGGAATTAATTATGAACTAATTAACAATGAATCAGCAGCAGTTATAGCAGTAACTTTAATCTTACAGTTGGAAATACAAACCAATTCATTTTAATAAAAATGTTTCGAGTCAAAGTGAACATTTATAACTCACACGACTATGAAGTATAATATCACAAAAATATCTAATATTAGTGTTAATAAGAGGAATTATTGTAAACTGTAATAAAGCCATTAATGGATGAATACGTCATAATCAGTTTAGTGATGTCGTAACAATATCACGAGAAAACAGAAATGTATTTCCATATTTATAATTATGATTAAGATTATTTTATTGAGCGTTATTTGTATTGAACTTTTTTAATGAAATATAAAATATAGCAGAGCCAATGAATGGAAATATTAATATTATTATTATTATTAATGTCAGTTATCCATCCATCCATCCATCCATTTTCCTCCGCTTATCCGGGGTCGGGTCGCGGTGGCAACAGGCCAAGCAGGCCGACCCAGACCTCCCTCTCACCGGCAACATGTTCCAGCTCATTCTGGGGGATAATGTCAGTTATAGGTTCCATAATCTGAAAACACTTTTAAAACAAAAGTAAAAGAAACGCATCATCAAAAATTATAATACAAATATATAGAATGTGTAATTATTGGAATACTAAAATATAAACGACTAAAAACTGAAATGAGTGACAATATTCTATAAACTACAGTATATTAAAGAAATGTAAGAATATTGCTCATATATTAAGAGAGAATGTTGTATTATCTTACGTTATGATAGAAAAAGAGCCAATTAATGGAAATATGCGTATTAGTGTCAGTTATAAGAAAAATAAACTTTAATAATTTAAGTGATAACAGTGAGTGTTGTACCAAACAAAGTCAGGTCAGTGTGAGTCAAAGAAAGAATTCATAATTCATACTCATGTTAATAACAGTATAACCGCTTTATAAGTGTAAAGAGTCAATAAATAGAAATATGATTATTAACATTTCATATCTTGATGCCAGTTTAGTGTAATTTCTTTTAAATTAAAATGTAGTTAAAATATGTAGTAAAATAGAAGTGACAATATGGTAATAGTTAATATAGTATATTATCTATATATTATATTATTGTATTCATATCAAGCATACACATAACAATTAACATATCCTGATTTTATAAAGTGTCTTTTGTAACAAGAAACTCACAATTTGTAGCATTTTCTCCACAATAAATGTTTATTTCCTGTTTTTTTTTAATACAAATCTCCAAAGTGCTTTACAGACAATAAATAAATGCAGCTATGAGATGTATTATAATTGAGTCACACATTCATTCAAATCAAACCGGATACAAATTAAAAAGCACAAACGATGGAAAAAGTGTGTGTTCCGTGATTAATAAAAGCGTTTGTTGACGTCATCTCTATGGGTTCACCGTGTACATGCCGGTCCGGTTCTTCCTCGGCTTTTCCATTTCTTCCTGTAAGAGATTCATCGCATTAGATCAGCTCCACACAACAGTGAAGATAAGATAAGATAAGATAAGATAAGAACAGATAGAAGTTTATTAATCCTGAAGGAAATCATGTGTCAGAGTTTCATTCAAGATTACAAACATAGAATAGCAAAAAACAATAGAACAATTATGAAGTGTAAAATAAATCATTGACATTATTGCAAAATAGAACACAATAACAATAAGATATAAAGTAAATAATTAATACAAGTAAAAAAATTAAAAAGTGAAACCAGCCATTTAGAGGACATATATGTTTGATAAATTAAAACTTTTTATGTTAAACGCTTCATTAATGAGACTAAATAAATGTATTGAGATGAAGTCATTCTTTTCATTTCCTCTTCTCAGTGAAACAAACAACGTACGCCAGCTTCTCATATCACATCAAATGTTTTACAATCATCAAAGCAACAGGAGCATTCAGGCTCAAAGGGGACTAAACTAAATGGAACTAAACAATACTTATCAACACATCTACAGAATATAAATAAATAAATAAATATATATATATAAAAGTGCTACAATACGTCTGAGCTGTGAATAGCTTAAAGAACAGGCTAAAGTACATTGCCACCTTCGAGTCGATGAACACTGATACTCACGCCTTTGTGTGTCCATTTAGTTGTTGTCATAGTGACAATCACATTACAGATATTATTATTCCTCCATGTTTCCTGTGTAAATGTTGGCCGTGACTCATTAAAGTACAAACAGGTGAATACAGGTGTTACAATAAGTCAATACACACCCATTGATATTCAACACACCTCGTTGTTCAGGACACATGAGATATGTGAACCAGGTCAACTCTGATGTTAAAGAAACAAACCCTCAGGTCCTCAATAAGTTCCTTCTGGTTTATGTTTATGTTTTCTACTGGTGAGGTTTATGTTTTCTACTGGTGAGGTTTATGTTTTCTACTGGTGAGGTTTATGTTTTCTACTGGTGAGGTTTATGTTTTCTAATGGTGAGGTTTGTTTTATACTGGTGAGGTTTATGTTTTCTAATGGTGAGGTTTATGTTTTCTAATGGTGAGGTTTATGTTTTCTACTGGTGAGGTTTATGTTTTCTAATGGTGAGGTTTATGTTTTCTACTGGTGAGGTTTATGTTTTCTAATGGTGAGGTTTATGTTTTATACTGGTGAGGTTTATGTTTTCTAATGGTGAGGTTTATGTTTTATACTGGTGAGGTTTATGTTTTCTAATGGTGAGGTTTGTTTTCTCATGGTGAGGTTTGTTTTGTACTGGTGAGGTTTATGTTTTCTAATGGTGAGGTTTATGTTTTATACTGGTGAGATTAATGTTTTCTAATGGTGAGGTTTATGTTTTATACTGGTGAGATTAATGTTTTCTAATGGTGAGGTTTATGTTTGTACTGGCTTATTCAGCTGGTTCTGTTGGAACAGACGAACACAATGTGACTGCATTATTGTGAATGGATTAACTCTGTTCTGTTGCAGGTAAGAGACAGAAAATACTTCCCAGGACTCACGTTACACCACACAAAGACACAACCGACACACACTCTGCCCTGTGTGTGTGTATGTGGGATTGTTTTACCTTGTCTTATGGGGACACAAATCGGATGACACAGTCGCATTGTGGGACTCGCCTTCCATGCGGGGACAAAATGCATGTCCTCATAACATAAGCGATTACATTTTAGGCCAACATTAACTTTGTGACGTGTCCTTGTGAGGACGTTAACTTTGTGACGTGTCATTGTGAGGACGTTAACTTTGTAACGTGTCCTTGTTAGAACGTTAACTTTGAGATGTGTCCTTGTGAGGATGTTAACTCTGTAATGTGTCCTTGTGAGGACGTTAGCAGTGAGACGTGTCCTCAGAGAGGTCTGTATCTAGAGACGTTTGACTCACGTAGTTCTTCCCGTTGGGCCCGTCGAAGCGAGTGTGCGTGGTGTACAGAGGGATTTCATCATTGTTGTCGTTGTGCCGCCCCCTGTAGCAGCAGCACCACACAAGCTGCAGAAGAGAAAACAACGGTTTTATAATAAAAGTGATCATGTATTTGTGCCATAATCGAACGGCCCGACTCACCAGCCCGATGAACAGCAGGAGCACTAGCAGCAAAACCAGAGCGGCCAGGACCAGCAGAGCGATCCCCCATCCGGGTACGCCGCCGCTGACAGGGACCGGGACCCGGGCCGTGGTCGTGGTTCCGGTCGAGCTCTGCGACGTGATTGTTTTATTTGGCTGAACCGAAACAGGCGACCTGCTGGCTGTTGCGGTTGAAGAACTGCTTGTCGTGCCATTTGGATTGGTGGTTGTCACTATAACGGTTGTTGTGTTTCTGTCTGAGGTTGTTGCGTTGCCGGATTCGTGTGTCGCTGCTGTGGTGTTACTGGTGGAACTGGGACTGGACTGGGTGATGTTGGGACCAGCTGTGTTGTTACTGGTGGCACTAGGACTGGACTGGGTGACGTTGGGACCAGCTGTGGTGTTACTGGTGGCACTAGGACTGGACTGGGTGACGTTGGGACCAGCTGTGGTGTTACTGGTGGCACTAGGACTGGACTGGGTGACGTTGGGACCAGCTGTGGTGTTACTGGTGGCACTGGGACTGGACTGGGTGACGTTGGAACCAGCTGTGGTGTTACTGGTGGAGTCAGAGGTAGAATTGGGTTCTCTACTGGTGTTTGAAATGGTTGTCATGGCAACAGTCCCAGTGGAACACACTAAAGACAAAGAAGGAGAAAAAAAACGTCTTGTTGGTTTGTGGATGTTTTGAAGCCTCCAGTTCAGCGTTTTGTCCGTCGCCATGTTGTTTCTTTTGCAACCAGTGAACAGGAAGTGACCATATTTGGACTGAGGAGTGACGTAGAGACGCCGTATACGTCTCTGGTAGAG